TATGTTGTGTGCATTCAATTGAGATAAAAAATATATAATACATCTATTATTTATATCCTGTATTGATATATAAATAGAGGAGTCAGAGTCAAAACATTTGTGTACCTACTCCACAGCCTTAATATGTACAATATTTTACTTCATTCACATGGAACATGTGGTCTGTGAAGTCCTAATAACAATATTTTCTAACCTGATTACCAGTATTTAATGAACAAACTTGATGAACCTTTATTTCTGGTAACGTTTCAATTCAGGAACAAACATTTTCGGCCTCACCCAAGGTCTGCTTCAGGTTAAATTAAAATTAAAACGGGATTCCAAACTTAGAATGTCTTTCTTTGGAATGTTTTCAAATGTTAAGATTTTAAAATAAATTGGAACAAGGTTATATGAGCGTGCTATAGAACATCGGCGACATCTTGCTCTTTCCATATGTAGTGCCAGGCATATGATAGTGCATTGCCGTCTTTAGAGTTGATGCATCTCCATGATAGAGGAATCCCATTTTAATTTTAATTTAACCTGAAGCAGACGTCAGGTGAGGCCGAAAACATTTGTCCCTGAATTGAAACGTTACCAGAAATAAAGGTTCATCAAGTGTGAAGTCCTAATATGTGGCCTGATGATTTTGGAAACAATTTTATTTTCCTGTTTACTCCCTCATTGTGCAACCCTTATTAAGCTGATATTTGTGACAAAGAACATTCAAACTAAATGTGAAAACAAGAGAACAAACTATATATTACTAGTTTACACATTATCACACTATATTTTAGTACCTAGAAGACTGGAATTATGGCGCATATTAATACTCATCAGGCTTAAAGCCTGTAACTCTGCAAGAAAAATGCTTTGGTCCCTTAGAAGTCTATGAAATTCATTTGTAGCCTGCATCCAGGAAACGTTACTCATCACTGCTTTAATTTGCCAAAATTCTAAAATGAGAAATTTAATTCCACTGATTTACTGTTAAATTTTGAGATTCATATTCTTCTAAACGTTTATCCCATAAAACAGGTCTTTCTTGAACTAAATTTGTTAATAATTCAACATCAACTTCATGGTGTCCACAGAATATTTTCCAGGAGGTAAAGTTGCAGACAAATATTTATATCAATAAATTTTAATTATTTAATTTTTTGGGTTTTTTTTGCAAGTAGATTATAGAATACAGTATTGCATCAATACAACAAGACAGACAAAGTATCTCTTGGTTGAGGGTATAAGGTTGCATATTTCAATTACTTTTATGATTATAATTTGTGAAAATTCTTACTCAATTCCAGGGGCAAGTGACTTGTTTTCCCCCTTTGTAGACATCCAAGATCAACTTCATAATCTCCATTTTAATCAAAAGAAAATTTAAGTTTAATGTATCTCATTGGAAGTCTTAATGTGCATAGGTACGGCAAAAAAATCATGGAGTGTGGAAGAGAGTATGGACACACACAGTAATCTTGACTATAGGCAAAAACTATGGGGACTCTGGTGACATAAAACTTGTCATGTATGGAATTTTGCTGTGGCCATATCATATAAGAGGCTCTACGGAAATCATCAGTCAATAGCAATTTATGGTGTCTTGGCTAGTCACAGCCATGGTTTTAAACTGGATCATGTGAAAAGGGCCTTAAAATAACAATAATTTTATGGCATAGTGAAAGAAAATAAATTTATTCCTATATTGCAATAGCTAATTTTTGTTCCATAGTAAATAAAAAAAATACAACTTAAAATGACTTTCAATAAATTCTTCAGTTTGAACTGGACTATAGAAACAACAAACAAAAAGCAAACATGAACATCAAAGTCAGTACAACAGTCACAAAATGCAAATGTTTTCAGTCTATCACAAAGACCTTTGTCAGAAACAGAAGAAATTCTAAGATGGAATGTTCAAAGTATGGCCAAATTTGAAATTTCAAAATAATTGCATGCAAGATGTGGGCACAATGATTGGTTGAGTGCTGAATTACAGAGAGCTTGCTATGTATTGAAAACTGATTTCATCTCCCTTGATGTTTACCTCTTCTATCTGATCTGCTTTAGAAATCTCCAGAGCTTTCAGTTTCCTTTGCCATATAGGGCCATTCTTAACAAAGTCACCTGTAACATAGCAACCACATTATAATTCCAGGATAAAGCAACTGCTGGACTGACTTTGAGGTTTGTATTTGTATTTGCTTTCTGTTATGATATGAAATATCCATTATTACTAAATGTATCATTTTAAATATACCAGAAATTATAAATTTAAGTACATATTTTAACTTTACATGTAAGTAATACCTGAAGACAGGTCAAGTTACTTTTGTAACTTCTAGGATGTTTAAAGTTACAGTTTTAGTTACAATGGATATTACTAGTCATTTTAACTTATTTTTTGTTTATTATAGAACAAAAAGATGCCATTACAATAGTTAAGAAATTTACTTTCTTCAGATTGGAATTAGAACAGATATCAAAAATAAAAAAATGTAAAAGTGAATAGCATACAAAGGAATAGAAATGGTGACTATAGGTTAACATAATATAGCTTATGCAAAAAATAGTTAGCTTATAGCAAATAATGCTTAGAACAACAAAATGAATATTGCAATATAAAACATCAATTTAATGCTTAAGATATGTTAAATAAAATAAATTCAATGTGTATTCTAAGAATATAAAATAATTATGAAAATCAAAATTCTGCTGAAAAGTTTTTATTATTAAGTTAATGTTTTAACACTTAATGATTAAATATATACTGGTAAATTACAATTTAACTTTCCTGTACATCAACAAGAAAACAAATTTTTTCTTTTGCTTGTTGTAGATTGAATAACAATTTTATACTTAACATTGAAAATACAATATAATTGTTTATTTTTTTTCATATAATTTTATTTTTCTTAAAATTGATTATTTCTGTACACAATCACAAATAGAATCTTCTTGCATTTGCCTTCTCTAACTAAAATTGGTAATGGAAGGAAAAATAGATTTGCTAATCTGCTCTCTTTATACATGTCTATGATTATCTATTTACTATTATGTATGCTTTAAATAATTTAGTAAAAATTATTATCAGCAGACATGTTTTGATGTTTTCAAAATTTAGAACACATTATGGAAGTTTTCTGACTGTTTGCTGTACTTTATTATAAATAATTATGCATAAACCAATATCTTATTATTGTTAATATTTTTTATATATGTATTTGCAATAAGGGCACAAAGATAAACACTCACCATGTAATCTTGCAACAGATTTGGCTTTATTACACTAAAAAAAAAATTTCAATTTAACACTACCTGGCACTGGAAACAAGAATATCCAACAATATTTATAAGTAATCTTTATACAGTTACTGAAATTTAGCAATGGATGCACAAAATCATCTCATTGATCCACAAATAATTTAGTGATCAGAGACCACCACATTTTAACTGATCATGCAAACAAAAAAAAACCAAAATAATATGCACAGAGGGTTTTCTTTTTCAATGTATAATACAGGAATTTCTCATTTGATGACAAATTACTAATCTACTTTTCAATTCATGATCATCAGAATGGGGTAAATATGTTTCTCTAAGTAATTTTTAAATGGTCATGTATATAATCGACACTTTTTTAAGTGACAATTGCAGGTAGGAGGATTGAATGTTGTTACTTGTGCAGACTTACAAAGAAGGCCCATAAAGGAAATAAGAGTCATATGACAATTACTTACCCCACACATTTCTATTGCCAATATCTAAACAATTTTACTTTTAAACAAAAATCTTCCTTTATAATGCAACTGCATACTGAATAAATTAGATAAGGACAGCAAATGGACCATCTGAGATATAAGTCAATACTAAAACTGACTAAGCTCTATGATTATGTTTGATATATTCAATTTCTGTTAATTATTTTTCAATTAATTTATAAATCTTATAAATGATTTAGGAAGAAAATAAAGGAGGCATTAATTTTATAAATATGAATCATACTTTTGTACCACTGAGGGAAGTAATTGAATTGGCACTATTTAAAAATGTTAATTATCACAAATATTCACTGTTTTGAACAAGGTTTTTCAATAATAATACAGTATAGTATTTTGTAAATACTAGTGAAAATACAATATACAGTATTATGCAAATACAGACAAACAAACAAATACATTTTTTTTCCTGATATATTTCCATCTAAACTGATATTTCCTGAAATACAGGCACAATGTAAGAAGCTGCACATTTACTAAATGTGAGATGGTTTCCTGCACTATTAATTTACAGTTACAATTACTCTGTAAACTGATTTTTACATAACTGTCTTTGATAACAGAGCTTTTCAAGATGAATCTTCACAGATTTATTTCGCTGATGTGATTTGATAGTCAGTCAATTGGTAAATTTGCTTATTCAACACTAAATCCTGCATTTCAGAAATTTTAACATAATCCAATTTTGAATGTTTATTGTAATCTTAAACTACCATATAAATCTTTTGACAATAGATTATATTTGATCACATGACTGTGCACAGTGGAATATGTACCAGTAACTTGGATTGAATTTTGAGACAAATTTCTTTATTTATATATACCCTATTCATTTTCTGTACATAGATTGGTCAGAAAAAAAACCATTTTCTGCTGAACACACAATTATACCAATTTTCCTTGTACAAGGCAATGAGGGAAGATATAATGTGAGGAAATATGCTGATTAGTGAAGGACTGTGCAAGAAGAGACATGGCAATCCTGACTGGTGTCTAGGCAGAACAACAAACTTTTTGACTTGTCAACAAAGTAGATAATATATAAACAAAAACCATGGAATGTATATCCATATAAATACAGTATTCTTACAAAGATAGACTGGCTCCTAATTTCAATATTACAGTACACATATGTGGTAGGATTCTATTCTTCTGAAATAATCACATTCTGTGAGGTGTGATGAACAGAGATGGAGGAGCCAATCATAACTCCATTTTGCCTGCTCATCTTAATTTTTCAGTATTTGTCTTTAATTTTTTAAACAACTCTAGAGCTGTTCATTGTCAGTTGAATGGTGCAGTCTGCCCAATCATAGGTCTTAATAGCAGAGAGTAAAGGAACACTGGCACCAACACTGATCTATTTAAATAGAGCCTCATAGCCCCACTTTCTTCTTTTTCTTCTGGCCGATTTGGAAAAATTAATTTAAAATTGATACCATTTTCTATCTTTATATTTAACCATCAACTGATGAGCAGTATTAGAGTAACTTTCTGCTTCAGTCATTAATCTTCCTGTGCGTTCTTCAAGTTGAGTCAAAGCTTCCCCTCTTTCTGTCAAACCCTAAAAAATAATAATTCAAGAACAATTCAATATTTCATATTTATTTTAAATTTTAATTATTCATTACGCAATCAAATCATATAAGAATTACAATAAAAGAACTAAAATTTATAATTCTGCTTCAAACTAAAATTATTTTAAAACTGATAAACAAGAAACAGTTTTAAGTTTCATAAAAACTAAGCAATTAGATTTGTTTGTTTAAATGTTTATAATTAGTATTTCTTACCCTGGATGATATATATATATATATATAATTAATTATTAGATTAAATTACTACATATATAAGGGCTGCTCAGTTTTAGTAATGATCAATAATCCTACTGGATTTGTATGCACATACATGTTTGCCCTTAAATGCTATAATGTTGAAACCTCAATATATAAACATAATTTAGGTCCAAGTGGATCAAATTAAAGTTGTCCAATAATGCATATTTTGCAGATTTGATTATCTTTGGGATTAAATAAGTGCTTTATAAAATTTATGGTTTGTTTGCATGATTACAAGTATTATTTCAAACAATCAAATGACCATTTTTGCTATTTGTGCAGTGAATCTTTTTTGTGTATGTACAATTTGTGTGACAAACATCACTCTGCCATCCAAAAATAAATGTGTGTATGAAATTTAAATATTTTAAATTTGAAAGTGTAAAATAACTCATTCTTTTAAAGTCCCACAAATGAAACTTTTTTGCATTGCCATGGAAATCTCTCATTTTCAAAATCCTTTAAATTAATTAGATTAAAATTATAAAATTAAGAAACATTTACAATAATTTTAAATTTAAATCTTTCAAAAAATTGTGTAAATATAATGTTTAATTAAATATAAGGAAGATATTTTGTTATAAGTAAAGTAGTCAAACTTCTGCATATGGAGCAACCATAGAAAAGATTCTGTTTTATGAAATTCAGTTTTACTAACTATGATAATTAAGAAATGATTTCATTGTCCAACAAAGGCAAACATCCAGAAAAACAACACATGCAAAGTAAAAGATAAAAAAAAGGAATTTAAATTTGCATAATAATAAAGTATAGGTACAAAGGAATTTCCAGCTCAAGGGGTTTTGATTTACAATCACCCAAAATCTGGTGGCTGGTAGAACAATTAAAAGTTATCACAACTAGAACAAAAAGAACCCAGAATTAATAATTACACAAATTTTTCTTAACACCAATTCTTAATACTAATTTATAACTATAAGGAAATAGAAAATAGAGGATGAGAAGTAGCAAAAATGGTGGATAGGATAGGAAAGAATACCCAGGTAGTGTAAATGCTGTTTGGTTACTGTGAGGGCCACATGGGAACTTCTTAAACACAAAATACTTAGATTTAGTATGTCTCTCTTTAATCTGAATTAGTAAAATTAAAATAATTAAAAAATTAAAATTACAAATAAATACAGTCGACCCCCCCTATAACGCAGGCTCATATAATGCAGATTTGTATATCGCAGCGAAAAAATTGCAACCATATTCGTATAAAGACGCTAAAAGAGACTCGTAAAATGTGGTAAAACGTCATTGTCAACTCGTGTTGTGACAGGATTGGTAGAATCTGGACCAATAGTGGACGAGCAGCCAAACTACTTACACGCTACGGAGAGTTCGAGTAAGTTGAGTTTACTATCGTCTGTACAGTATATAAATTAGGTACTGTAAGTCTAATACAGTACTGTAATTTTATACATTTCTTGTGAAAAAAACATTTCTTATTCAATGGCCATAAAAATTATTTCTATTAATTAATTAATTTTAATGATGTCTCCAAAGTTCAACGAATTCTTCGCAGAAAAATAACTTATCAGAAAACGCGCCCGCCATTTGGTGCGCTGCTCCGCGATGAAAACAAGCTTAAGCAATGGCGTTGTCAAACAGTGCACACTCGGTAAGTAATCCTACAAGTTTTTGTTTATAGCATAGTTTATACTTATTCCCAAAAAATTATACGTGTTTTGGAAATGTTGAATCAAATTAGTCTAGAATTGATTAATNTCTCCGTAGTTGGCGCTACGGACGGCGGGAAAGTAGTTCGGCTGCCCGATGACGTTTGAGGTAATTATAGGGAATTTTTACTGTTTTTTATGGATATTGGTCACAATTTTTTCGTAGTTTTATAGGAATCGTAATTATAGGGACCGTAATTATAGGAGGGTCGACTGTATATTCTATTTTTGTTAAGTTTGATTTTGTATTCTACCTGAGTATGGTCTTTAAAAATAACCAAAAATGTTTGTAATTAAATTGGTTTTTGCTGTCTTTGAAGGTTTCGTGAATTTCTGAATGCATTTATAGATGCATACATTGCAATTTTAAATGCACATAAATTCAGCCTTTAATGATCAATAATATAATAAAAATACTTACAATGCTCAAATTTACTCAAATACTTAAAATGCTAAAATTTCTTTATTGAAAATTATTGTAAATTGGTGACTAAGTACTTACCTGCCGTGCTTTGGCTAATTCTGAAGCCAAAGTTGAAGTTTGAGATCTCATGTGCTCAACATTGACATTTCCACGAATATGGACAGCAACGCTTTTAGAAGCTTTACCACTAGCTTCACCAACTGTTAAATAGATATTTTTGTCATTTTTTTTTTCTATTTGAAAATAAAAATAAATCAGGTTTATTCAAAATTTCTGTTGTAAGTAAATAAGTACGATTAATTGTTATAATTTATAATTTGAAACAAATAATCTATTACTTATAAATTGCTAATGATAGAATCCCTTTACAATAGATCCCTTAATGTATTACAATTGTTTTAAATAATTCAATTAATTTCATTTCTAATACTAAAATCACTTTAACCTTACAATTGTTGTTGTTTTCTGTATTTTATTAGTCTACTCTCATTAATACAAACAACTAGGTAACAGTAATTAGTTTGTTTTATCAAAAATTCATATTGATGATTTTCAGAGTCAAGATCATATAATTTATAAAGTCAAGAAGTAATGGGTAATCAAAATCTTTAAATTATAATAGTTTGAATTCATTTACTAAATAAAGTTAAATAAAATTAAACTTACTCAACCAAATGATCATTGTAATTAATCATGCTATAAATCTGCTATTATTAATGATTAGATATTAAGTAATTTGGTATTAGAGATAGACATTAGGCACCATCTCTTATCTAAATTAATAATTGTAATTTTTAATAATTTGTTAAATAATTTAGAACAGTCTGATGAAAAAACTAGCCTGGAGTGGGATTTGAAACCACAACCTCTGCTTACTATTGCCACCCGGACCTCCAAGCAATTGTCCAAATCAATTGGGGACTGGGGTTGTTCGGAAAATCAATTTTTCGGATAACTGATTATGTACAAAAAAATATATTAACCTATCCCATGTTGAAATTCATTCAAATCCTGGCACATCCTTAAATACCCTCTCATGGTTGCACCAGTACTGCCAGCTAAAACATACACACCAACAAAAATAATATTGGAGTAGCTCAAGACATAGCCAAAGATTGCAGCGCCACAGTACTAGCAGAAATTTAAATTTGCTGACTGGAAAGCTTTCATCAGAAATATATGAGTGTATTAAACAAAACAAAACTAAAGAAATTCCATGATTTTTTCTGTTGAAAATTGTTTGAAAAAGAAAATGATTTTGGTGTCAAAATCGTAAAAAAGTAGCCAAACCTCGCATCACTGTGTGCTCTCTCTGATATGCAAACTAACACATGTTTGAATGAGACTACATCCATTTAAACAGGTGGACATCCTTAAACTTTAACCCCTGTTTTCTGAGTACAGTAGAATAGTCCATTAAAACTTGATGTTTGAATTGCTGTACAATCAGAGCTCAAACTCATTTTTGCTTACTAGGAAAAGAAAATCTATTTAAAATAGAACATTTATTATAGTACCACTTTGCTTTTTACACTTTTGATATGAACAAAAAAATCTTTATTGGAAATAGGGTTATTTCTTCGAGGATTGTGAAGGTTACAGTTTAGTTTAATGAATTCAAGTAAAATTTTTGTTTGCTTTATTGCATGAAAATTAACATTGTGACAATAGTGTTTTTCCAGGGAAATGACAAAATTTGTTTTATCAGTGTTTGTTTTAGGGCAAGTCAATTGTATTACACTTCCTGCCTAAATACAAAAATTTACATAAAATTTATGTAACAAATATCCAAATTTTAAACAGAAAAGTCATATTGTAAAAATATTCACATTAAATTGTGAAGTTTAACAGAACTACAATAATGTTCAATAAGACAAGAATCACCAAAAAATTTATTAATGCTAACTGAGATGAGAGACAAATATCTGGGTTACAGTATTAAGACTAGACAAAAATAACACAGTATACTATAAATTAATACAATTTTACAGATAACAATAATCAATTAAGAGATTAATTCTCATATATAATCATCGCTAAACCCGATGTAATATAGATAATCACCAAACATATGCCGTAAATCCATCGGGCTAGTTTTAAGGCTAATTACTAAATAAATTACGTAATTAATTTGGCACTAGAGGTAAGCGTTAGGCGCCATCTCTTATTAATATTAATAATTATAAATAAATTAATTAATTTAAATAATTTNGAGTCCCGCTCCGGGCCGATTTTTTCTCCCAGCGGTTCTAAATTATTTAAATTAATTAATTTATTTATAATTATTAATATTAATAAGAGATGGCGCCTAACGCTTACCTCTAGTGCCAAATTAATTACGTAATTTATTTAGTAATTAGCCTTAAAACTAGCCCGATGGATTTACGGCATATGTTTGGTGATTAGCTATATTACATCGGGTTTAGCGATGATTATATATATTACGCCTTGCCGGGGCTTGCGATGGCCGGTTGAGTGCCTTATAGGAGTAGGACGTGGGCACTGAATGTGTCCCCAGCCGGCATTGTAATAACCGTCGATGGTTACATAGTTATACGCTGGAAGAGGAGATCGGATCGGAGGTCCGGATAGCGTAACTGGCAACGCATCTGCACGGTAAGCAGGAGTTGTGGGGTTCGAGTCCCGCTCCGGGCCGATTTTTCTCCCAGCGGTTCTAAATTATTTAAATTAATTAATTTATTTATAATTATTAATATTAATAAGAGATGGCGCCTAACGCTTACCTCTAGTGCCAAATTAATTACGTAATTTATTTAGTAATTAGCCTTAAAACTAGCCCGATGGATTTACGGCATATGTTTGGTGATGATTAATTCTCAGACATACAGGATTAAAATTCAACTCAATCTTTTTTTGTAGTATGGCTTATCAGTAGAGGAATAGTAGATCCAAAGAATTATAATCAGTCCATAAATGAAATGTTCTTTTTTGAAAGAGATCTTGCTAAAATTGTAGCAAAATGGATAAAGACCAGTCCCTGATGATATGATTTTCCTTTATTCTACCCCACAATCACAAAAATATGGTGACTGAACATAACAAATAAAAATTCCATTTGTCTCTAATATAATTTCACTCTGATAGTGTTATGTTTTTATTCCCTTCTTTTTTTTTTGTTTAACAACTTTCAAGTTTGATACCTATTCCTCAAATTCCATGGAATATCCAATTCTTACTCAAAATCTCAAAACTCCTTCCTTCCCATCTTCCCATTGACTTCTTTCTCACTTTTTCCTTTCTGTGCACATTCCAACTCCTTTTTCTCATTCTTTCAGATGTGTTCTCTTTTGCACCCACCAATGAAAACAGATTAACTGAAACAAAGGCCTGAGCTTTGTACATAAAAGGTCGTTAGCAAAAATGGAATATGACAATTGATATACCAATATAAACAACACTGATATTACCAATTTTACAAAATAATAATGAAAATATACCTATTCATCAGTATATATGTAGACTGATTCTATATATAACTGAAATTATGTACAGGTATCCCCTGTATAACATGGTAGTTAGATTCTGAAAAGTGACCTGTTATGCAAATCTGTGCTATATGAAACAAAGGATTAGTACAAAACATAGGGTTAGATTTCAAAAGTTAACAAATATACTATTCATTTTTGTTAGTAAAAGAAATATATTTATTAAAGCAATCAATAATTAACTTACAATCATAATTAAAAATACCGTATTATGCATTACTATTAATTTTGTTAAATAAGTGGATACTTTGTAAAAAGAAAACTATCAGTTTCTGAGCTTTTTTGTTGTTGATCTTGATCAGAAATATCAGCAATATCTTCATTTTTTTATTTTTATCATACAAAAATTTTATGGATAACAAAATAAAAACAAAATATATTAATCAAAAATTTGTTCTAATGAGTTGCATTTGTTCAGTTTAGTACCAAATGGTTTTTTCAAAAATTTGTGCTTGAATATCGAATTGTTCAAGTTGGGAATAACTCAAGTACAGAGATACCGCTGTATATTATTTGTCATTTTTAGGGAATAACTTTAAAACGTTACTAAATATGACGATTAATCTATAAATTAAAACACAGCAACAGTCTTTTAAAGGCTAAAGTACAAAATCAATGACAATACCTGGTTGATAGGAAAGCTAAGGAAAGAAAAACAAAGAAAAAAATTGTACTATCAGTTTACATGAAAGGCACTAAAACATTGAAAATTTCAATATTCTAAAATCCATGAGCAAATTTGAGACAACACACATGCTTACTTGAATAAAAATATAAAATAATGGAGTTTGCAATTAGAAATTGTAAAATTTTGTATGGAGGATTTTCCAAATTTCCAAACCATGTTAGAGTGAAATAGTGTTGTAGAAATAGTGTTGTAGAAATGTGTGTTATATGAGGGATACCTGTAAATTCTCTCTTTTGTCACGTCTGTTACTACCTTCTTCAATCCCAGGTTTTCACCAATAACTATGGTAAACTCATTTGGTCTTATCTCAATAAAATCAGTTATTAAAGTTTGTTTTTTTTTATTTAGCTTTTTATAAAGTTCCTGATATTAATCAGGCTAAGATTCTTTACTGTTAATGCAGCTACCTTCAAGTGTTACAGCAAATATTTCAAGGTAGCTGCATAAACTGTAAAGAATCTGTATCCATAGCCCGGCATGACAATCTATATTAGATACCTTAAAAAACCCCTTAAAAACAACAGCAACCAATAATACAAATTTACATTTAGCCAGAGAGTTTTATTTTTTTCTGTTATATTATTTATTAAATGCATTTTTAATACTGCTGTTCATATTTGTTCATTTAGTTCATTAAAATTATATTAATATTTTCATAAATACAGTATATATTAATTTCAAAAACAATGAAGTAAAAAAAAAAAAAAATTGGTGATCTTCCAAACTTCGAACCTGTGTTTGATTTTGTATCAGCTTAACCTGATACAGGCCTCTGAATGTGGCTTAAAAAAATTTGTTTATTAAACAGTTACTGAGTGTGAGAAATGTGTGAATTTTCTTTATTATACAATATTGGATTTGTAAGCTGGAACTAAGTTCAATAAATTTTATTACATTGCATTTTTCTTGAATGTTAAATCAAAATTGTGCAATATGAATACTTGAAACTGAAAGTTAGGTTTATATTAAATACATTAAATATAAAAAAATATCAATCACAGAAAAATGAAAAATAAAAACAAGTGAGTATT